TTTTTATTATTATAAAGATAAATATAATTTATTTATTTCATATATACAATATGGATGTCAAATCGAAGATTATCAAAAGATGATTAATTTGATATATTATATATGTAAAACCAATAAGAAATACAAAAGTTATCAACTTTTAAAATACATTTATAATTCAATAACTTATTGAATGAAACAAATCAAAATTCAGGGATATATTAGTCACTTAGTGTCTCGCTATGTAAATTACCAAGAATTAAAGGGTTATATTAGTAAAAGTGATATTAAAATAGCTAACTTAGCTAAATAATATTTATGGAATACCCGAACCTAAATTATTAATTATTAATATATCAATATTATTTATCCAAACCTAATTACGAAGCATGATTCTTCGCCAAATATGATTGCGAAGCACCAGAAGCAGCCACGTAGGCTCAGCGCATTCGGGAATTATATATAAGGAGGATTTACATTGAAAAGGAGTTGGTCGAAAATATTAGTAATGATACTATAATCGTCGAGTTTGAATCTAAAAAGAATCGAATATCGCAATTTCATTAGCCCCAGATGTTCTAAAATCCTAGCTTCGCCCATGCCTCCAGCCAGTTTAATTCAATTAAAATGTAAATTTACATCGAATTTGAGTTGCAAGTTTTCCTATATATTCGTATGGTTTGATTTAGGGTTCATGAAATTAACAAAACGTTCGTTTAAGCTTGTAAGCTCGTCAAAGCTCGAATTAAGAGTTTGCGTAGGTTTTCTATTTTTTCGTGTAAATTCAAACTTTTTTACTCGGCTCGTTCAAGCTGACTAAGGGTCAAACAAGCCTGCCATTTTATGATGGTGGTTGACCAAACTGACTAAGTTGACCTTCCAAGCCTACCATAATGGACAATGAAAGACCAGTAAAATGACACATTTCTATAATCGGTTGACCTGACTTTTTTTTGATTCATGTCAATGTTTAATCAAAAGATAATTCAAGTCGACCAACGGATTAGCCGGCGGAACATAGTTCCGGATGCCATGACTGGCTACCAAAAAAAGAAAAAAGATAATTCAATCGCGAAGAATAGGAATTAATCTTCCTTCTTTTTCTTCTTCATTTTTTTTTAAGATCTATATTTATATTTTTATTTTTAGTATTTAAGGAGAAAATTATAGAAGCACTGCAACTTACTCGCGACAATTAATTAAGGCTATGTTTGGTAAAACTAGCTGATAGCTGATAAGCTAGCTTATAGCTTATATGTAATTTTTGAGCTTATAGCTTATAGCTTATGACTTATAGCTGAAAAGCTAGCTTAGATGATAAAAGGTGTTTGGTAAATTAGCTGATAAGCTAGTTGAAATAAAAAATTCAACTAGCTTATTTGAAAAGCTACCTAAAGTAGCTTATGAAATAAACTCGAGCTTTTTAAAAAAGCTCGTCCTACCAAACGAGACTTATTTTAAATAAGGAGCTTATAAGCTAACCAAATAAGCTATAAGCTAGCTTATTTGGTTTACCAAACATACCCTAAATGAACTATTCAATTTCTTATTGAGAAATTATGATATAAGGCAACACGCACGTAATCAAACGTATAACAACATTAAATGAACGATTCAATTTCTCATCAAGAATGATGATATAAGGCAACACGCACGTAATCAAACATATAACAAAGTAAAAAAATACATAATCAAAAAATTTCTTATCAAAAAATGATGATGTAAGGCAACACATAATCAAATGTATAACGTAATAAAATCACGATGCATTGTAAAGTATATTGTCAAATATAGTAAAAAGTTCAAAATAGGTTGTATAAGATGGAATTTTGGCCTCGAGACCTCTCAATCCATCACGCAGAATCGCCGTCGTGCTCTTGAGAACATATCAATTTCGAGAACAAATGCAAAAATTCCATTATTCTGATTCTTGCTAGCTAATAAATATCGAACGGTTCTCAACAGTCCGAAACTTGTCCACACACCCATTTCAAACTCTTCTTGGTTAGATGACGATATTTTCATCGACTGCGTTGTTGATCGTGGATGTGGTGTTTTTCAAGTCGTATCTTAACCTCAAACAACAATATGAGATCCTCCTTCTAGTGCAAAATTGTTGACCAACAAAATTGATCAACCAAAAGCATCGAATTAGTGCTAGTAACAAGGTAATAACCTGTTTAATTTCGATACAATATGATGAATATGCACAAAAATAGGTAATAACGAGGTAGATAATTTAGTAATTGAGCTCAGGTGCATGTCTTCATGTTGTATTAATTTGGAGAATATATCTTCAGTTTTGTGATTTTTTCTTAACCCTTTTACAATGGATTCTTCGACGGTAAGATGTCACCGTGCGTGTCCGGCCTCGCTGGTAGGACGCCACCGTGTGCGTTCGGCCGCGCCAAAAAAAAAAAAAATATTTACAAAGTAACAAAAAAAAAATAAAAAAATACATGGTCAATCTTCAATGTCTTGCTGATGTCATGGTATTTTTTGACATTTTTTTGAAATTTTTTTACTGTCAAAAGAGCCGTATAAAATCGAGAGGAAAAGAGTAGAGAGAAAATAGAAAGGAAGCAGTGAAGGGCAAAAATTTAATTGAGGAGACGGTGAATAGCAATTCACTAGATTATTTATAGTAAGATGGCCTGACTACTGTTGATCGACCAGTACAGTTAGACACTGAATAAAAATGACACGCACTAAATGTTGCACATTACCCTATAAAAAGGTATGATATGTAAGTTGCCATGCTTTTTGGTGGGCATATCCTATCTTTAATGAATCGAGTGGAAGTTGTCATTACTTTAGTATTATCTGTTGCCTTAGCATGTGTCCAAGTCTTGTGCGGATTTACACTTATGGTTACACGGCCAGGGTGGTCCTGCTTACTTGAAGTCTTGTTAAATTTTTCATACCACCCAAAAAAAAGTTGAGTTTTTCACCCCAGAAAGTACGAAAGTTATGCGAAAACTGTCGCATAACTTAACAAGACTTCAAAACGGGGTGAAAATAAATATTTTCACATTTATATATTCTATTCTCAACAACAACAACAACAACAACAACAACAACAACAACAACAACAACAATAAATAGAGTCCCAAAAATCTATAATTCCGTTGCCGGGACTTGAACCCGGGTATCTCGGGTGAGAGAGTCGAGTATCCTAACCACCTAGACTACAATATATTCCATTCTTAATAAAAATAAAATTTAATATTTAAATTATAGTAATAAATTTTAAATGCATGAAATTGAAAGAATACTACAAGACTAAAATGTTAGAATTGGAACTTGAGAAATTTTGAAATTTTAGTCTACTATTCGGATCCTTTTTTTTTTTGGCAAATGAGCAGTTGCTAAATTTTTTGGTGCAAGAAAAGTGGAATTTTTTACCAGAAAATTGAAAAAGAATTAAGGTGTGGAAAAAAAATACACAAACAAATGAGAGTGGACCAAAATAAAAACTCCGTATTCAGTGAATACGTTTTACTATTTTTTTTAATTGTAAAACGTATTCACTGAATACGTTTTCTTTTGTAAAGAAATCTGAAAAAAACGTATTTAAGGAATACGTTTTCTACACAAATTGTATGGAAAACGTATTTCTTAAATACGTGCTTTTTATTGTTGTCCACTCCCTTTTTTTTCTTTTTTTTTTTGTCCACATGTTTTTTTTTTATTTTTTTAATATATAAATTGCTCAGAAAAGTGACAAATTTTTTGGTGCAAGAGAAATGACAAACTTATGTGTATTTATAGACAAAACATGGAGATAAAAAAATGTAAATTATTAATACATATTAAGAAGCGTGATATATATTAAATATAAAAACAAAATGAAAAAATAGTGAATAAATAATTAATAATTATTTTAAAACAAAAAAAAAGCATGTTGTGCATTCAATAAAATAAAGATTTTTTTTTTTTAAAAAAAAAGGCAAATTGCGGTTCCTTTCAATGAACAGAGAGAGGGGGCCCCACTTCCTTAGTGAACGGCCACAATGTTCAAGTATGCCAATTTGGCAACAATTTGAACGGGCAATTGGGACTTGTTGCGGAAAAGGAGAAGAAGAGAAGGAATTAATCCCGACCAACAACAAAGAACCTTCCTTCCTATTCATAATTGAAAGAGACTTCCAGAATTTCCTCTCAACAACACACCTATATAAATACCAATTTCCATTGTAACACTTCTTTCTCCACAAGGAAAGTCTCATCATCACCAAACAACAAAAGCTTATTATAATAAGTTTCTTCAATCAAAATTCCTTAATCTTTCCTTTGAATATCTATAAAAACTCAATCTGTCAATCAATCATGTCGATGTCGATGTTCAGCTCGTTCGACGCGCTTTGCGCCGAGTCATTTTTCGGCCAGAAAATCGGCCTTTTCAGTTTCCCGGCGACGTCCGGCCACGATGACGGTAAAACACCGGAGTTGAAAATCGGCCTTGTGAAGAAGGGCAAAGAAGTAAATTCGCCACCGCCGCACCCGGAGAAGAAGAGGACGGAGGATCGCCGGAGGGTTAGGGCGGCGAGGTTCGCGCCGGAGCTCGATGGGGTCTACTGCTTCGAGACTATTATTCCTTATTGATTGGTTTGATCTCTTTAATTATGTGGTTTTTGTTAAGCAGTTACTATTCTTTTACGATGTAAAGCATAGATTTATTAATGAAATTGACATTGTTCTGACCAAATAATTGGCTGTTCTTTGTTTGAATTTTGCTTCTCTCTTCTTCTTTTTTTCTTATGTATCTCATGTTTTACCATTTGTGCCGATTTCTCGACTCATTTATTTAGTTAACAATTATGTTCAAACTCGACTATCAAAAGCTTGAATCGACTCCAAAAACTTGAATCTGACTCATTTAGTTAACAATTCTGCTCAAACTCGAATATCAAAAGCTCTAGAAGTCGGTTCGAGCTCATCGAGCCTTGAAAATAGGGGTTTACATACAACTTCTTGATTCAACGAGCTCGAAAATAGGGGTTTACATACAACTTGATTTTCACTTGAGCTCCGATCGTTTAAGCTCAAGTTCGACAGGGGTTTACATACAACTTAAATAGGGGTTTACATACAACTTCTTGATTTTCACTTAAGCCTCCGATCGTTTAAGCTTAAGTTCGACGACACATTGATACTAATAAAATAATCGAGTTTGAGCTAATATATAAAAGCTGGAGCTTGTCTCCCACATGAAATAAACATGGCAATATTTTTCTTGTTCACAAAACAAGAAAGCCACCTCATGTGCTTTTGATGATTTTCCAAATTAAGCCAAAAATAAAAAAAAAAAAGATTTTCTCAAGCATACATAACTACAAAATATAAAATATCTAATTTGTAGCTGAATCAACCACCAATGGCTCCACTTTCTCTGTTTCTCCATTTCCTTTGGGAATAATAAGTCCATAGCCACCGGCTTTCCTTCTGTAGACTATATTAACCTCACCTGCAAGAAAATAGTGAATGATCAAACCAAAAAAAGAAAAAAGAAAAAAAATGTAAGACCGTCATTTAGAGTTCTCGTATTACAAATTTCGGCCTGTTAAAGCTAGTAATATCATACCGGATACCTAAAATTGTAATAAAATTCATTATGGAATGTAATATTTATACCAGGGGAATTCGTAATTACAAATGATGATAATAATATAATTTACTTATTACCCGTTTCCTCATTCCGAAAACCATAGAAGTCATGATCCAGACACTCGAGCTGCTCAATTGCTTCAGTAACAGTCAAAGG